GCTTGGCAAAGGGGGCAGTGCATGCTATAAAATTCTGCAGGGTGCCCAAACTTTTGCAGACGCCATTTTTTTGTTTTCTGTTATTTTGAAAGTGTAAATGATGGAAATAAAATCTAACTTTTGTTGACATATTATAGGAATGTCTAATCTGTAATTTGATGCCTTTTGGAGATTTTTCCATCTTTCCTTGGCTTCTTTATGCACATTAATACAAATTTTTAGCTGGGGTGCCTAAACTTTCGATCCCCACTGTATATATATATATATATACACTTTTTTAGGTACACCTGTTCAATTGCTTGGTGACACGTAGACGTGGTGTAGATGACTGGCTGAAGTTCAAACCGAGCATCATAATGGGGAAGAAAGGAGATTTAAGTGACTTTGAACATGGCATGGTTGTTGGTGCCAGATGGGCTTGTCTGAGTATTAAAAAACTGCTTATCTACTGGGATTTTCACACACAAACCCCTCTAGGGATTACAGGGAATGGTCCATAAAAAGAGAAAATATATCCAGTGAGCTGCAGTTGTACAGATGAAAATACCTTGTTGATGACAAAACCCAGAGGAGAATGGGCAAACTGGTTCATTTGTGACATTCAGATGGTAGGGTCAGAATTTGTCATAAACCACATGAAAGCATGGAACCATTCTGCCTTGTATCAACGCTTCAGGCTGGTGGTGGTGGTGTAATGGTTGTGGGGGATATTTTCTTGGCATAAGCAAGGTGTACCTAATAAAGTGTCCAGTGAGTGTTTATACACACCTTCCAAAAAAAACTCTGAGAAGCATAGTAGACTTCTTTAATTGCAGAGGAGACATTGCATGTTTCTTCTGCAATCCAGAGTCTGCCTGCCTACTTGCAGTTTTTGAGAGCAGGACTTTGCTTCTGCTTTAATAGATCTCATGAACTCTTACAAAAAGTCAGTTCAAGAAAGACACAAAGTTGTATAGAAGAGTATTCTGTACCCTATGAAGTGGGTCATATCAGAGTGCAAGCAGTATTCCACCAGGGAGGGGGCTCAGGGCCCTATTTCATCTAAAACTGGCCTTGAGTACAACTCATGGCTAGATGGGCTGGTTAAGTATTGGATCTTGTGTTTTAATGCTTACTCATGGTCATATACTGCAACACAACATGCCAAATGATAAACATTTCTTAAGACTTCATTTGATACAAAAACAGAGTGTATGTAAACCCTGACAATGAAACTCTCTTATTTGCTATTGTCAGGGAAGTCCTGAATGACTAATTTAGTCAGCTAAACAAATCAAACCACAGTGCCTCCAATACAAATATCTAATTTATAAAAATAATTTAGCTGTCTTAATTAATTATTTTGAGTTATTTTGCCAAGCATAATTCCTTAAATAACCCAGCAAGATCGGTTTATTTATTGACTGCACTATATCAAAAATTAATTAATATTTATTTACAATAATTCACAAGGAAACACCACTAATAGTTTGATTAATAGGTTGACACAGACACTATATTTTACAATGAGGAGCGACATTTTTTTTTTTACTGTAAAGTATATACCTATGCGATTGAATATAATAACGGTTTTTCCCCTTCTGTAGAAATCCTAACCGATTGGATAATATATGTCAGATAATATTTTGACTAACTTCACCCATGAACCCGCTGCAGTAGAATTACCTTGTGAAGTTCATCTAATTATGCCCATTAACCCCTTCGCTTTGACTGTACAAATAAATGTGGCCTCGCGGAAGTGGCCGCATATATGCATATCTCTCTTTTTGCTTTGATCGCGCCACACAACATGCTCCCAGCACAGAAACTGAGCTCTCACCGAGAGCCTGGGTCTCATACTAATGACCAGGACCTGGGATTCCTGGTTCTGGGTCACCAGATTGCTGTGATAGCCTCTGATTGGCTTTCACAGTGATCAGCGATTGTGAGCCCGCCCCGGGTTTACTTCCTCTTCTGAAATGAAGGGAAAGATACATTGTATCCCTCTCTTGTTGGTGGAGAGAAAGATATAAACAAACAAGTGTGTAAAAAAAACCCAAATAAATAAAAATAAAGAACAGAAAAATAAAGAAAAATAAAGAAAAAAATAACAAGATCAAGGTTTTCCAGGGTTAGTATTAGGGTCAAGGTCAGAGTCAAAGGTCAATGTTGGGTCAAAGGTCACGGTCAGAATATTTTGGGTAGAATATAAAAATAATAAAAAAAAATGTAAATTAGTATCAGTGTCAGTTAGTGTCAGTATAGGTGTGTTTTAGGCAGGATAAAAATGCAAAATGCAAAACATTGTTTCTGAGCCCTGCTACAGGTACAAACAAACATGTGGTATTGCTGCCATTGTCAGGAGAAAGAGAATATATTTTGGGTTGTTCTTTGGTGGTAAATTATGGTAATTGCAAAAAAATATTCAGCTATATTAAAAAAATATATTTTTATTTTACTATTTTTGGGCTGATTTTCCTTTGATAACTAAAGAAAAATCAGGAGATACTGATTACTGATCACCAAAAAAGCCAAATTTGTCATGAAAAAATCCACCTGGATACAGAAAGTCACTGTGACGATATCTACAGTTTTACTAACATATGTCTAATATGTCTATAATGTAACTAACATTGTTAGTACCAGATGGGCTGAGTATTTCAAAAACTGCTGATCTACTGGGATTTTCACGCACAACCATCTCTAGAGATTACAGGGAATGGTCTGAAAAAGACCATTTTTACTAACATATGTCAAAGTTGCTTAACATTTTGATTTACCCCTAGGCAGAAGGGGTTAAGGCAAATTAAAATGACCAAATTTTGGGGCTAGGAGACCTAATGGGGTAGCAAATCAACTAGCAAGAAACACTTGCATACAGAAAAATCAATAGTAAGTATGGAAAATATAGTTATCCTTTAAAATAGCTATTTGGACAAACTCTCTTAAATGGCTGTTAACTAATTGGTAGCGTTGATCTTCCCCTAAAATGGTGTCTAGCAAGGATAGAGCTGGGTTCCCTGGCTTCAATGAGGTGTCAGATCAGATGAGTTGGTGAAGTTAGGTGATGTGTGATGATGAGTCTGATCTTGTCTCTCATGATGGTGTCCAGATGATGATCCTTCTTCAGATGATGTGTGTGATCCCTTTCTGTGACCTGATTTGCCATCTTATTCATACACTCATAAAATTGTAGTAAGCCTGCCCAAAAGATGTAACATTCTCTATTATTAGTGCATCAGTCTAATTATCAACCCTGTGTTTGCTTATGTAGTAACTGACTTGGCCACCACATGGCACCCCAGGACCAGAAATGACTGTCTCAGTTTTCCAATGGACAAATTATGACTTTACTAAAACAAGTTGGACCAGGTGATTCTATCTAAAATATATGGTATGCCAAGGAGATTCTGGTGATTTCTAATGTATATGATCATTACTCTTTTAGTGTAAAGGTATTTAAATGCAAACTTCAAACTACAGTATTCAAATGTAAATGTCTAACTACAGAGATGGCAGGATTTCATCAGTTATACCACACACACATATATATTCCAAACACTATTGATTAAAATTGAACAAACATATGATGACACTAAGACCCCTTTTCTGGGCACTGGGCTATTTTGTAAGAATACATTTTTTTGTATCCAATCAACACAGATACATTGTAACATTGTGTTACCCTCTTATAAATATGTCCATGATAATTGTAGTTATTTTGTCCGGAAAAAGAATGTATAACCCACCATCTTGTAAACAGTCTTCTGTAAGGAATATGGTCGCTTGCATAGATATGTAGGGAAATTATGACCATGTCATAAGATCACCTTATGTCGTGTAAAACAGAATCCATGAACTGACTTATTTTATGGAATAATATCATAAGATCACCTTATGTCGTGTAAAACAGGGTCCATGAACTGACTTATTTTATGGAATAATATCATAAAATCACTTTATTTCATGTAAAACAGAATCCATGAACTGACTTATTTTATAGGAATAATTTGAAAACATAGACAGTTCCAACCTCATTTGTAGCAACAGTTCACTTTAATGAATGATGTGTTGTCTCTTGAATAGCAAAATCGGTACACACCCACAAAAATATAATTGTAAACACCCTAGACGCACAAAAGTCACACTTTCTCCCCCAAAGTCAAATAAAACCTTCTTAGCATCTGTGAAATCTTCAAATATTAGTCAGAATTCATACTCCCAATTGATCCACCTTCATGGAATCATTCTTTCAATATCCACATGTGCCTCAAAAAAACAAAAGCTACATATAGTGCGTTATCCCTATTACATAAACATCAAATAAACTGAAAATCCAAATATCAATATATATTGTGTTCAAAATTTATATAACCACCCAGTGTCCATTTCTATGTGGCTGAATAAAATACTCTTACCCTAAATATAGCTGAACATAGCTTCAAATCTCCTTCCATAGTAGAAATCCACAAAAAAAGCTGATCCTTCGAATACGTCCTTCCCTTCGTAAAGAGTACCTTCGAGAGAACGTATAATAGTGTAGTATCCTTAAACATATAATAATATGTGCTCCCCTCTTCAACACCACTAGTGAAACATAAATCCACTTGCCGCCACCTTCCAAACCATGCACCTTACCGGACTTTACTATCCACTAGCATAGATGAGAAATGGCTCCTCTCGTCCAACACTGTTCAAGCTTCCAATCTCATTAGGACATCATATCATGGGTCAAGAAGAAAGATCCTATAGTGTAGTATGTATTATAAATGGGTCTATTTATTAAAAATGTGCTTACAGGTAAACCTCCTTAAAAACGCATATATCCTCAGTGTAGTAGTGATGTGTCTATTCAGTAACAACATTCGGTATACAGAACCTCTCTCAAGATGGCTGCTCCGCTACTTGTGGTTTACGTCCACATCCGATATCACATTGTCTCTTTGTTTACCTTTCTCAAAGCTTAGACAATGGCCAGCGAATGAATAGACAAGGTTAACATGTCCTGGGTCAACAGAAAGCAGGGGCGGACTGACCATTTGGAAACTCGGGCACTGCCCGAGGGCCCTGGGTCAGTAGGGGGCCCCATGAGATGCCCCTGGTACCTTTTTCATAGACTTTTTTGAGTTTGGGCAAGGACGCAGGGGCCCCATGATCCCCTATTGTCCGGGGGCCCCATGAGCTGTCAGTCCACCCCTGATAGAAAGTAACATAAACATATTGTTTTTTTATTCATTTTTGCATGAGTCCATTTTTAGAACACTGAGAAGCCTTCTCCAAAGTCTCAGGTGTAACAGAAACACTATTGTCCAGAGAATTTGTTCTGTAAGCAAACTTATTTGCAGACCCCTGGGAGTTTCTTCTCTTTGTGCTAGTTAAAAGTTAATAGGACTGTGTCTCTGGCCTGGTAAGAAAACTCCTATAGTCCAAACTTAAAAATTATAAAATACTGTATGTATATTTCTTTCCATAACAGTTCTGACACTATCTTTTGATCTGTTAAATATACCATTAAAAGTGTTTTGTTATGTTATACTGTTGGAGAATTTCTTCTATTTTCATCTATTGATGTCTGGTCATGTGTAAGCCCTGCGAGGCTTCTCTTTCTTTATTTTTCTTTTCTTTTCCTTTCTTTCTTTCTTTCTTTCTTTCTTTCTTTTTTTTCTTTCTTTCTTTCTTTCTTTCTTTTCTTTCTTTCTTTCTTTCTTCCTTCCTTCCTTCCTTCCTTCCTTCCTTCCTTCCTTCTTTTTCTTTCTTTCTTTTTACTTTATTTTCTATCTTCTCCTCTATTGCTACAGGGGATTATATTTTTGTACACTTGAAAACTTCAATAAAAATGATTGAAAATAAAAAGTGTTTTGTTATATCTGTTTGATAAGTAGAAAAAAATAACTGGTAATCCTGCCAGAAATCATGTGTGCCAATAACCTTCTGTGCTCTGTGCTTGTGCTGCACACCTAGTAGTTAGCATTGTTCTGAGCTCTCTGTAGACAACAGAACATCTCCTCTCTGTTATAGTGAAGAAGGGAAGGGGAGGTGTTATGTGGTCCTAAACCACTTTCTTTTCTAGGCTGACAAAGATGCTCCATAAATACAGTACAGGGAGTGATTGTCACCTTAGGACACACAGTGTGTTACTGCAGAATCACTAGCTGAAAAAAAGGTTTAAAAAGATTGGAAAGTGCGTCAAAAAAAGAAAAAATGAATGCAGTAACAGCATCTAAGGAATGGTAAACCATGATAAATTACATTTTTGTGTTTAGATATGTAACTTAGATATATAACTTTGATAATGCAACTTTTAGATACATAACTTTTCATGGGATCTGCAGCACCAGAATATACAGTTGCTTTGTTTTAATTACTATGTTAGAAAGACAATAGTGAAATATATCCTGGACTCCTTTTGGTATGAAAGCAAGTAATCAGTACCTTAAATGCCAGAATGCTAAATTTTAAAAGGATTGTAGCTTTAGGTGAAAATATCCTCAAAGAAGCTAGCCCATCCAAGCGTCATGTGTTGTACCTCCAGGGCTGCATCCTACCTGTTAATGGTGTTATCTCACAGGTAGTGGTTGAAGGACTTAGAAGCACAGCTGAATGGTTTTCACGCCAGGCCTGTAAATTAGACCACAACATTAGCATTCATGCCTTAAGGCCCTGCTGCTTCCCTTATTACATACCAGCTACCTGTTTTCTACCTTCTTTTACAGTGACAAACAGCTCAATCAATTCCACATGCAAAAATCTATAAATTAAGAAATCTTTTAAAGTCCATAGCACCGCTAATTTGCTTTTTCTGTTGGCGTTATTTACCTTCCCTGTAGAGTTCTGTTTTATGCCATCTCAGTGGCTTAATCTTAAAAAATAGGACAGTATTTTTTAGGTTCACAATTTAAAAAAAAAATCCTAATTATTGATCTGTGTGTTCTATGTCCTGCCCAAGCTACTGCTGTATAAATGTAGTAGAGCTTTTCCTGCTTGGTCCTGTGCTGCTTGTGCCCGGTCTGTATCCTGTTCAAGTTAGCATTAGTGATGAGTGAACCAAGAAATGTTCGGTTCACTAGCACTTGGCGAGGAACCACACGGAAGTCTATAGAAGCTAAAGTGTGTCATTTTTTCTGGCCTATTTTAAGGCCATATTACACGTTTTAGAGAAAAAGGGCATCTCCATGGGAGACATGTATCAATGCAAAAAATAAATAAATAAATTCATTGCTTAAATTAAAGTGGTTGTAAAAGGCTAAAGTTTTTTTTACCTTTATGCATTCCCTGAGCCCTGACTATACTGAGTAACCTGAAGGAATTCAGAGAGCAGTCTGAGTAGGAGATGGCTGCAGTGGCACAGAAGTTCTTTGGCAGTTTGTCATACCTCAGGCAGCAGCAGCTGAAGGAATTGATGACTCCACTTTCTACATGCAGCTTGGGCTAAGGAGGTGGCAGGGAGAACCAAAGTCATATCTGAGTGTTGGGGTAGGGTGCTGTGCTGGGAAGTGGAGGGGAATGTTCAGAACAAGTCTCTGTGCTGGCAGCAGTCCATTTGTACCCTTCACTATCACTAAACTCCCCATGCAATGTCAGCCAACCACCCCCCACATACTACGCCTGCACCCACCTTTCCTGCTCCCACAATCCAACATGTCTGCATCGCCCTTTTCTTAAGCTTACCACCAGGGGCGGACTGACAGCTCATGGGGCCCTGGGAAAGAGGGGATCATGGGGCCCCTGTGTCCTTCCCCAAACTCAAAAAAGCCTATGAAAAAGGTACCAGGGGAATCTCATGGGGCCCCCTACTGACCCCGGGCCCTCTGGCAGTGCCCGAGTTTCCAAATGGTCAGTCTGCCCCTGCTTACCACTCCTACACCCCCATTCTCTCACCACCATGCAAACCATTGAACTTTTTCTTGGAAGAGGGGACAGAAAGTGTGTTATTTATAGGATTACCAGGTAAACATTAAAAATAAACTCACAAGAGTTGTAAGTTGCTATGTACAGTATATGAGGAATAGTACTATGCTACAATATATGACATTTTTGTTTTTGATTTTATATATGCTTTAATGAATCCAATATTTGAACCTAAATACAATTGAATTCCTTTGGAAAATAACATGCATAGCCTTTATGAACCCATAAACATCTGATATTTATTGTTTAACAACTTGAAAGCTATAGCTGAATAAGGGCTGCAGCACAGTCATCCAGTTCTGGGAGAGCGTCATCTGAAGTCCACCAGGAGCCTTTCCTCCACGCGCCCCCTGGGGAGTGCACCCAGAGCTCTCTGTGATTGATACAGCTAATCAAATGACAAGGTAAAAGGCCAATCACAGCGGCCCTTTACCAAGTGATCAGCTGTGCCCAATGACACAGCTGATCACAATGTAAACACAGTCGCTGGTTATTGGCTGCACTTTCCTCACACTCTCACAGCGTGAGGAATGTACTGCCAATAACCTGCAAGTGTAAACGAGCACATCAGTGCAGCGCCAAGGCAACATCAGTGCAGCCCCAAGCGAACATCAGTGTAGCCATAACAGTGTCCATCAGTGCAGTCCCAGCAGTGTCCATCAGTGCTGCCAGTCAGTGTCCATCAGTGCTGCCAGTCAGTATCTGTCAGTGCCACCAGAGTCCATCAGTGCCACCAATCAATGTCTATCAGTGCCACCAGTCAGTTCCACATATCATTGACCTTCAGTGCTGGCTATCAGTGCCGCTTATCAGTGCCCATCGGTGCCACATATCAGTGCAGCCTCATCAGTGCCTCCTTGTTAATGCCCATCAGTGCTGCCTATCAGTGTAGCCTCATCAGTGCCACCTCATCAGTGCAGCCTAGCAGTGCTGCATATCAGTGCCCATCAGTGCAGCCTCATCAGCGCACATCAGTGCAAGATATAATAGAAGTGTGACGGAGAGTAGGTAGGACAGAACACACAGAACAGATGGCAAACGCACAAAGCTTTATTGAGACAAAAAATGACAGTCACTCAATGAAGGGATTGCAGGGAGGATGACCTCGCCAATAGGGGAAAAGCAAGGAGAGGGCTAAAACACTTGTAGTCCAGCCCCAAGGGCAAAGGAAAAGTCTCTGTAGCAGATTGTAATCCAACAGGGGGGGTAGGGGGCAGCGCAGGAGCAGTTCAAGATAAACCAGGGGAAAGCATACGCTCACGGATCTGACAGGGTGCCTGATCTCCCAGAGATAAGATAGTAGGACACAGGTACCTGTTGGGGTCCGGAGTAGGCGAGTGGTCTCTCCATTAGCTGGGTCTCAGGCAGGCTGGCATGTGTGGTCTCCCCCCTTTGGCTGGGGGTCTCAGGCAGGCAGGCTTGTGCGGTCTCCCCCCTTTGGCTGGGGGTCTCAGGCAGGCTGGCTTGTGCGGTCTCCCCCCTTTGGCTGGGGGTCTCAGGCAGGCTGGCTTGTGCGGTCTCCCCCCTTTGGCTGGGGGTCTCAGGCAGGCTGGCTTGTGCGGTCTCCCCCCCTTTGGGCTGGGGGTCTTCAGGCAGGCTAGCTGGTGCAGTCTCCCCCCTTTGGCTGGGGGTCTTCAGACAGGCTAGCGTCTGTGGGGTTCCTCCATATCCTTGGGGGCTTCTAGCAGAGTTAGCCACAAGGGTCCCGCTGCAGCTGGGCTCCCTCGATGGCTGCGCAGCGGAGAAAAATGACCGGAGAGCTCCGCATCAGCCTCTTAAGCTGGGGGCGGGCCAGAGCCAGTGTGCCTCGCCGCCCGGCAACGAGGCACGCCCCCTGGACACGGGCCACACTTCTCGTGAGCGCAACCTTTGTCCAGGTACATCAGCAAGCACGGGAACTTCCCATGCCCGCGCTGCGGATGACAGGGCTGGGGTGGCAACAGTCTGACGCCGTGGCCCGGAACATTCCCGCAGGAGGTTCGCACCTCTCCGTGGAGAGGTGTCAACCTCGCTACCTTCTCCTCTCTGGCCTTGCTGGAGGAAACGATAGTGGCAGGGGTGGTGAAAGCCGCACCTCTGACCCTGCGCGGCAGGACGAGAGGTGGAGGGGGGTCATTTGGCAACAAGGAGAGAAATGCAGTTGGAGACAGGGGATAACAGTGAGGGGGCCAAGATGACATTGGAATTTTGGGGACATTTTTGCAAGAGGACCTGGCAGAGGAAATACTTTAATGGAATTTGGGGACATTTAGCAGGGTGGCAGGGAGGAGGAAAATACGTTATTTGAATTTGGGCCATTTGGCAGGATGACACGGAGGACATACAGCACTTAAATTTGGGAACATTTGGCACAAGGAATTAATGAGGGGATTAAAGCAGAAATTAATAATTGGCAGAGCCCCTATACCGTGACAAGAAGTCTATGGCAAAGTGTAGCTAACTTGCAGGAAAGTCGCAGCTGCACTGCTTTGCACCGGTGGTGCGTGTTATTCCACAGTACATCAGTGGGAAAGCAACCTTATAATGGGGCTCAGGACAGTAAGGGCTTGTTTACAATTGGGGTTTGGGGAGTGGTTAAACCCCATGATTGAAACTTGTCTTTACCACACACCCCCAACCACTTATATAGCGTCAGGGGTTGCAATGGTGATCCTGCCCAATGCTCCAGGGGGCCTGTGTGGCCTACAAAAAGGAGGGCGTGAAAAGAGATCTCTTTTCACGCCCTCCTTTTTGTATGCCTGTTTTTTGGTTACTGGGCAGAAAATGTATGTCTGGCAATACATTATATTATATTAATGAGCCTCTGATCCTTTTCTTATTTACCAGGCCTGTGTGGCCTCCCTGTAATGTTCTGTTTTACGCTGGAACAGGAAGGGTGCTGAGGGAAGCATATATAGGAACAGATCCTCTCCATTTTCTACTTGCAACTGCTGAAAGCTGGCTTCTCCTCCTCTACCTTCCGCTGACATTCAGGACCTACAGGGAAAAATTTTTATTATCCTATTCAAAATTAAAAAAAATTTAAATTCTGAACCATTTAATTTCATTGTGGCCCTCAACTGGTTACCAAATCACTTATATGACCCTTGCTCTTCAAAAGATTGAGCACCCCTGATCTAGACAAAGGCAAACTCTCAGTTACAATCATCATATGCATTTTCATATAACAGGAACTAGGTCTAGACAAAAAGTATAGCAATTATCAATTATCAATACATATGGACAAATACCAGAAAAAACATCAGCTTCCATGTGGACACTCAGGATCAGACAGAGGTGAAAATCACAACATCTCGGAGTAAAAAAAAACCCTTTCCTCAAGTTAGAAGAGGTCAGAAATGAACAAGGTCATATTTGTTCATTTCTATACCAGCATGTCTTTGAAGGGTGGGAAGAAATACACACAAAGCACGTGCAAACTCCATGCAGATTGCATCCTGGTGAGGTTTCAGATCTAGGACCCCAGTGCTGCAAGGCAGACGTGTTAACCACTAAATCATTCCACTATGTCTTTTGAGGGTTAAAACGTACTAAAATAAACAAATAGATAGATGTGTAGACTTCCCACCTTGCATCTGACCTCCCCTTTCACATCCCTCCACACAGAGTAATTTTCTGAGCATCTAAGCATATGTATAAAAAGTGAAATCAAATGAGTGACTCAGATTTGACATAAATGCTGAGGTAACAGTGAATCGCTGTCCTCTACTGAAGGACGACACCTTGTCTAGATAAAGCCTTGTAAATGTTCCCGTGTAAAACTTAGCATTCCCTGCACCTACCCATCATGTATATTTATAGCTGCATTAATAATGTTCTTCAAAAGGACTTATGTTACCAAACCATACATTAAATACACCTTCCTAAAAATAGATATTCCCAAGAGCAACAAACTAAGAAATACAGATATGCAAAAACAAAAATAAAATAAATAAAAGCAGACATATTTCATGCAAAACAAAAAACAGTATACATTTGGTGTGATTATGAGTAATAGAAAATTATATTTAGTCATTTGGAATCCTTGCTATGTTTCTGTTCATTGCCCTATTTCAATCTGCTTCAAATTAATCAGCCCTGTTTTGTTTAAATATATCGACGCACATTGGCCTGAAAAAAACGGAGACAAACAAGGTTTCTAGCCACAAGCTAAATGTGGTCAATGCATTTTGTTTGTGTGAGGGATCTGTTGCTACGCAGCTATGTGGGGACATTAATCTTGTAGATTGATACACCTACAATGGGATCCTTCTGTTGAGGTGGTGAAAGATTAGAGGAAAATATGCAGTAGGGCCAAATTATAGTATTTTTTCCTTTCTTGTTTAACATTAGTGTTCTTATTATTCTTATTATGACTAATATTATTATTCTTTTTAAATGAAAGATGAAAAACTATAAAATAAGAAAAACCAATAGGTATGGGAGAATGGTAGAAACAGAGGGTTAACAAAGTTTCCCATAGCCAGGCAGATCTTGATTGATTTTAAGATCTACCAAATTTTTACTGTTCGCCAAGCATCTGAAGGAGCCATAACATCCTCTACTGACCAAGAAATGATGTGACATCCAGACACATAGATCTTTAGGATGCTAACAATTGTTAAAGCTGAACTCTAGGCAGATATAAAAAAACATACATGTGAACAGTTCTATAATCAATAATACACCATTATATTTATTTTAGATGTAGTAGTGTATCTAGATTTTATCTGGTTTTAGCCTTTGCAGTCTATGTACAACAGAGTTGCAGAATGAGATGAAGAAGTAAAAAAAAAATGCAAAACAAAACAAAATAAAAACAAAAGAAAAAAAAATAACAGATTATTCCATGCATGCTGATAAAAAAGGGAAAGCAGAGTAACAGAGAGATGAGCTCATTACTGTGCTGCTTCTCCTTTCAATGTACAGTCAAGGGCCCGGGTTGTTGTCCAGAATGATTCAGGCTCCAAGGAAATGGGTTGAATGATGTTGACCATCTGACTGAGGACAACTAGTGGCACATAAAAAGTACTGTGGGGGAAATCTGTGAAATGAAGATAGTGGTTTTATTATTTAACAGATAAGTTCACCTTTGGAACATGTTACATGTTCCTCCCGTTTTTAGGGGGCACATGTAACATGTTCCCATAGCCTCAGCCGTGCCTGCTGTCCCTTCCTCCCCCTCTGACAGATAGCATGGGGAGAAGTCTCCCCGTACTATCTGTCAGATTTGAAAACAGCGTGGCTGTGCGGGGCTCCACCCACACGGCCAGAACAGCGTCACTCATTCACAGTGTTCTGTGAATGAGTGCCTACAAGTCCTGTGACCCTTAGCGGCTGTCGCTGAAGCATAAGGAAGAAGATGACTGTTCTTACATCCTAGAGGAGAATTTGAGAGCAAATGATTGAGTAGGTAAAACTGCTTTTTGTGGTCCCCTAGACTTAAATTATTATTAAATACTGTACATGCATTACAGAGAAAGACCCACTGCAAGGGAAGATGTTTGCTTTCCTGAAGTTTAGATATAAGTAACCATGCAATGTAAGATAACACGAGTATTCTAACACTTAGTGGTCTATTTACCAGGGAGATTCACCTGCAGTGAATATTTGTGAATGTCAGATTCACTGTTTTATAAATATATCCCGTAGGGCCTTATTATAAAAATTCGGGTATCTCTGCCAATTCCTCCTATTTTTCCAATCTACTGAATTCTTCCACACATTGCAGAGAGAAGAAAAAGCTATTTTAACAGCTCAGTTGATATGACTTGGAGCAACATCAACTCATACAAAGCCACTTATAAGAATAGGCAAAGTGGGAAGTCACCTAGAGTGCCACTGGCTGGGCAGCACACTTGGCTTCCTATAAAAAAAATGCTTTTTATTTCATGTGGCCACCTACTTCTCTTTAGACTGTGTATTCATATCCTTAATGACAAGCTAGCATTACCACACCAGTTGCATTGCTCTCTAGACCTCTTCAGTTTCA